GCTTCATCAAGCATTCTGGATAAATAATCAATTGCAAGTATAAAGATGGTGGGTGATAGTGGATCCCCTTGCTTTAAACCTCTTGTAGCAGTGAAAGAGCCCCTCCCTTGCCCATTTATCAGGATGGAATTTTCATTTATGTGCAGCCACCTCCTGATTAGGTGGCAGAAACCATTGTTAAATCCTCTAACACTTAGAAGCTCCAAAATGAAATCCCAGCTTATGGTATCATAAGCTTTCCTTATGTCCAGATTATAAACCATATTACCCCCTCTACAAGCTTTATTCAAGTCCTGTAGAAGTTCTTGGGCCAGAAGAGTATTATCAATGATGGACCTTCCTTTCACAAAGGCAGTTTGATTGGGTTTAATTATAGAGTCCAAGTGAGGTTGTAGTCTGTTCACAATGATTTTACTGATGGTTTTGCTAATGACAGCGGTCAAACAGATGGGTCTGAAATGTTACCAATTTTTCTGTATTTCAGATTTAGGGATCAATACAGTGGTGGAGGAGCAAAAGTAATTTGGAAGATTGTTACCTTGGAAGAAGCTTGTAACAACAACAATAACATCAGTCTTAAAAATTTTCCAAGACTTCTTGTAGAATTCAGCAGTAAATCCATTAGGGCCAGCAGATTTAGTGCTATCTATGGAACTAATTGCATTCCATATTTCCTTTTCAGTGGGGATGTCAGTAAGCTTGAGAACAACAGTGTAGTTCAGTTCTTCCATGAAGTGTGCCTTCTCAATGTGGGGTCTGAGGTTATGTTCCTGGTTGAGTAATTCTTTGTAAAAACATATAGCATCATTTGCTATATCATTGTTGTTATGTAACCACTGGCCATTGACATTTTGTATAGCATGGATGGTATTGCATTTTCTTTTATATTTGATATAGGCATTAAAGAATCTGGTGTTTCTATCCCCATTAGTGAAAATATTCATGGCTTCCTTCTGTTTAAGAAATTTTTCCTTGTAATCAATGGCACTGAGGACGTTGTTATGAGCAATTAGCAGCTTTTTCTCCTCCTCAATACCAAGCAATCCCCCATTCTCCAAAGCTTTAACTTCACCTTCAACCTTCTGGACTGTGGCATGAACATTTCCAAAAGTGTTCCAGCTCCAACCTCTTAGGGCTTTAGCAATCTTAATTTGCAGTAAGCTTAGCTTGACTAAGGGGTCAGGGTGAGAGACCCCTTTCCATAGATCAACAATGTAATTACTATATGAAGGATGTGCAGCCCACATGTTGAGATATCTAAAGGGGAGGGGGAGCTATAGTTATCAGTTGAGGTGATGCTCATAAGAATAGGCCTATGATCTAAGCCAGCAAGGCTAAGGTGAGTAACAAAGGAAAGGAGGAAGTAATTGAACCATGCATCATTAACCAACATTCTATCAAGCCTCTCCCAAATAGATCCCCTTTTCCAAGTGAAATTAGGTCCCTTGAAACCCAGATCAAAGAGACCAGCCCTGTGGATATTATCTCTGAAGGTATTCATCTTGGCAAGGTTTGGAGTTCTACCTCCAGATTTTTCAGTGGTAGAAATGATACAATTGAAATCACCCCCCACCAACCATGGGGAGTTCACCTGTTGGCACCTATTCCACAACTCTTTTCTAGCATCCTTTGTACATCCAACATAGGTAAAGGTAGCTTCACCTTTATGTCCATTCATATTGAATGAGAGGTGGAAAAATTGTAGATGATCAATTAGAATATCAAAATTTGTTTCTCTTCTGCAAAAAATCCAAATTTTATTATTAGTTTTCTCAAAATGAGTGAAGCCAGCAAATTTTTAAATCAGGTTTTGAGGATTCTTGTGAACCATGGGTTCAAGAATAACAATGCACCACAGTTTGTATTTATAATTCAGGTATAAAACTCTTTTAAGGGACAGAGGGTTAGCCATCCCCCTTGTATTCCATCAAATTAGATTAATCGTAGAGTTGAAGATGTGGGGAAGGCTGGGATCTAGATCTGGTTCTTCCTCTAAGGAGTGGAGACCCATTCCTAGTTCTATTAGCCTTCATAGATTGTACTCCTGCTTGTAAGTTTTTCACTTCTGTCCCTGGTTTTCTCCTTTTCCTTACTATTTTAATTTGCCAATCCTCCTTAATGGTTTGTTTCAGTTCATTAATGCTTGGTTCCCGTGGGGCTTTGTCAAGTATCTCTATGATGATTTGCTTCCCCTTCTCAGCATGCAAGGGGGATGTGGGTGTGACAATTTTGATTTCAGTATTTTCCTTCCGGATTGATCTGTATAGTGGGATATCAACTTGACTGTTGGGTTCAGATAGCTCTCCAAGAGGATCAGCATCTGGTGGATCCTCATTAGTCCTTGGGGGTGATTCTTCTAGCCTTAGATTTGTTTCCTGTCTCTTTTCTAACATAATTTCTTCAGCAGTGCCCCTTGCATCATTAGCCACAATTTTTTCAGTAGCTATGTGGTTTCTTCCTGCCATCTTCTTGTTTGGGGGATGTAATCTGTAACATTTGTCTATTGTATGCCCAAACATCTTGCAATGTGGAAAATAGTAAGGCTTATGTTCTGCTAATATATCCTGCTAGAACCCTTCAGCATTAGAACCAATCCAGATTCTCTTCAGTTCAAAGAGTGTGATATCTCTTTCAACTTGAATTCTAGCAAGGCCAGGTCTAGCCTTATTATAAGTTAGAGCATCCACTCTCAGAGGTGTTCCCAGTGATCTACCAATATTAAATAGAGCATTGAGCTTAAAATAGGGTAGAGGTAAGCCAGGTAACTTAAACCAGATGGGACTACAAGAGGTTCTTTACTAGGATCAAAACATGGGGTCCATTTGATGATCTTCATAACTGTTCCAGCAATGTTAACAGATTGTTTGGCAAACAATCTTGCATAATCTTTCTCAGCTGCCAATTGGATTAGAAGGTGTCACCCATCCAAAAGCCCAATTTTCCAATTGTCTATAAATTTCAGAGATTCAAAAAAACTTCTAACTAGATCCATTTTTGGATGTCCTAGCCGAAATTTGCCCACTAGTTTGAACTTAACCTCTTCTCTTAAAGCATCAAATTCTTTGGTAGTGAAGTACACAGCTGTTTCACCCTCTTTAGTTCCAAGAGGGTGAATACAAGGACTACTTCCTTTTCCAGCAGCAGTATCATGGAACTCCTGTGGGAATACTAGAAGGTCATAATCCTGTAAAGAGTCAGTGGATTTCCCCACCACTCCAGCATAAGTTGCTTTTGTCCATTGGGAGTTAGTCAAAATGTCAATGGAAGAGGCCATCACCCTTCCAAAACACGCAGGTTATGATTTAACTAGACAGTAAAGACTATCCAGAAGTAAATAGAGAAACCTAAGAGATTATTCTCCCAAAGAAGCCAGTCACTTCTGATACCCAAGGAGACAGCAGCAAAAGAGACCAGTGGAGTTTTCCTCCTCAAAGGGAGTTCAGCAAAGAATGAAGCCTCAAAAAACCAGTAATGGGACAAAAGAAGAAGAAATCAATGGAACAGTGTCACCAAAGTTAGCAGGGAATGAAGCAACAGCTCCAAATGAAACAGTGCCAAGGAAGAAACTAAAAAACAAGTAATTAAAAATAAACAATACACTTAACAAAGAAAATGTTCAAACTAAACTAAAAACATATATACATACATATATATATATATATATATATATAATGTTTTAAGCCAAATAGGAGCAATCCTATTCTTTAGCCTCTTACGAGTGCATAAAGAACATTGAATAATCTAGAATTTAGTCCTTAATTCCATGGTTAGGCTTGAAGGATACCGGCTTCCACTCCAAAACTCCCACTTCTCCCTCACACGACGGCTAAAAATCTCGCATAATTTTTCAATCAACTGGACCAAATTGGGGATTTTAATCTATCACCTTAAAATCTCTAATTCTACGTCCAACAAAGCATATTTCCTTATATTATTGCACTCAACCCCATGGATGAAATACTCTCTCATGAAATCAAATGTGATTCTCCCCATGTTGTAGAAATCATAACACTTTCAGAATATATGTTTCTCAACACATTTTAACATTTCAATTGGCCAAAATAAAAATTAAATGAAGATTTAAGTTCAAATCATGAAAAATTATTGATATTTAAAACCATATAAAACAAAATCAATTATTCACAAGACCATATCTCAAAGTAGAGAGAAGGATAAAGAACACAACAAGAATTTATCAAAAGGAAATGATAAAAAATTTCATTAATAAAAATAAGTTTACAAAACAGAAGAAGAAAAAGACACAACTTATCTCAAAATCATTCCCAAGCAAATCTCTAGAAGTTCTCTTCAAGTCTTTCTCTCTTTACAAGCACTCTTATACAAGCACTCTTAATTCTCTTTCTTAATTCTCTTTTAGAAGTGTAATCATGAAGAAATCTCTCACCTTCCCTCTCTTCTTACAATCTTTGAAGAAAATCTATAAGCCATTGCCTCTCTCTCTCACGCCACACACACACACACAAACACACACACACGCCATCCAAACTCACGCCCCTTAAACACCTCTTCAAGCCCTAGATTTCCCTCCCTTTTATAAAAGACTGCCTCCCTCCAAAAAGAATTCAAAATTCCCTCCAAAATTTTATCTAAAAGTCAACTCTTTTGAATTCAAGATAACACGTCAATTAATCTAAGATATATATTTGACAGCGACTTTATATATGCTTAAAAATGCAAGTATTTAATACTGCTGCTAGAAGATTTAATTCCTCAGCAACAACACCAAAAACTTAAAAATGATTATAGATTCGATAAAGATGTATATATAAAATATTCAATAATGGTAAAGTCACACTTATCAACGCAAGTATACGTATCGCTCATGTAATATAGGGCTCTAATGGAGTCCTAGATATCGATCCCACAGGGAGTAATATTAGAACTACAAACTAAGAATTTAGAAAATTAATACTTAATCACATCAATGTAATTCAAATTGCTTAGCTGTCACTAATAGGCAATTGAAATAAATATGTACTTTTGATAACTCTTAAATAACTAATTATACTAATAAAGTTTCTAATGTGATATTCAATATATAAGAAAATATCTTTCTCTTTGTCAAGAAATTATAGTGAATCAGTTCAAATTGTATTGTGCCAAATAGAAGCATACCTATTCTTTATCCTTTAGTCCAAGCGTAAAGAACATTGACTAATCCTACGCTTGTTTACTGAATCTGCGGCTAGGTTGGGAGGATATCGGCTCTCACTTTGGAGCTCCCACGTTCCCCTTGTCTGGAGGGCTAACATCTACATTTCAGCTCCCAAACGATAGGACCCAATTGGGGATTTTAGTCTTTCACTCAAAAATCTCTAATTTTAAGCCCGATAATTTTATTTTCTTATTTATTTACACCCAACTTCCAAGGGCTTTGACCTCCCTGAATCTTGGATGTAATCTTCACTTTAATTGTAAAATTGAACATATTTTAACAAATCAATTGGCCAGATTGAAAGTAAATTAAGATCAAATTGAAAAGATCATCACAACTTCTTTAACATTTTCAAGGCTCAACCAATTCAAATCACCAGTTCACAAATCTCAAGACGAGGAGAAAGACAGGGAAATCTACTCAAAACTCATGGGGAAGAAACAACAAAACTCAGAATTCATATATAAAAGCAAAGTCATACAAACTACAACAAGTAAATAACACTTATCTCCACTTAAGTAAATAACACTTATCTCTAATTCCTCCCCAAGCAAATTCCTCGAAGTTCCTCTGAATCTCTTCCTTTCTTTACAGCACACAAAATTCTTCTTCAAAGCGGTCAGGAGGAAGAAATCTCACACTTTGCCTCCATTCTTACAATCTCTTGAAGAATTCCTCACAATCTAACCCTATAGTAAACTCTCTACACGCTCCAAACAGTTGCAACTCTCCGGGAGCCGTCTCAATTTTCAGCCAAAATCTTCCTTTAAAGATGTAGAAGCATTTTCCCAAGAAACATCCCCCCAAAAATCATCAACATTCAATGCCCCTTTGGACATAATCGCCGATCTCGCCATCGGCGGCCTCAAGGGCGCCGTAGGAGGGCCTTCTAAATTAATTGATCTGAAGTCTCTGGAAAATCTCCCAGTCGATGCAGTTGGGCTCGCCGTCGGTGCCCTAGTTCAATTCTTCACATTTCGGTCGTGTTCGCTTCAAATTAGCTCCTTTTTGCATCTTTTTGGTCCAACGACCATAATTCATCATACCTGTAACAAAACATTAAAAATACCTTTCTTTAAAGTGCAATATCATAAAAAGGTATGAAAATCTCAACATATTTGCCTTTGGTCAAAATTCCCCAAACTTAACTATTACTTGTCCTCAAGTAATTTTAGCACTATATAAAATTTAAGATCTATATTAGTGAAGTTTAAATTCAAAAATACTATAAGTTTGATTTAAATAAATACCATAGTGAGATTTTTAGAAAAAATTCAAGTAATTAAATTAACTCTGTAGTTATAATATTATCTAGTCATCAAGTTTAAGAGTCATCAAGTTTAAGAGTCAAGTTTAAGAGTTTTAGTTTTTTATTCATTTCAAGAATGACTATATGTTGTAATATTAAGTCACTTAGAATATTCAAATGATAGGAACTTCTTGAGAACACTACAGTAAAAGATCTAATCCATAAATATAAGTTTAGGATTCAGGAATGTATT